AAAAAAAAGGATGAAAATACTAGCAAAAGCAAATATAAGAAATTGGCTCTGTGTAATTCATAGCAAGTATTCCCAGCCCAGTCTCAGCATCTTTGTACGAGCATTTGGCATTAATAAGTAGAAAGAATAAGTCTATCCTTACAAAGAACTCTACAAAAAAACTTACCAAGTGAAGAAAAAAACAAAGGAAAAACGGAAAAAGAGAAAGAGAGAGAGAGAGAAATGATGAAGATGAAGGGTGGAGGTTAACTTTGTAGGCTTCTTTATAAGACTAACATTGCTGTAAGTAGAAAATACCGAAAGGAAGCTCAACTTTGAAACCCTACACATTATATGTAACCTTCTAAACTAATTAGGCATAATAGACTCACCGTCACTCTCTTTACAAAATATAAACATCCCAATATTCAGATAATTACATACTGCACATCAATGTGCTAACTTCTTTTTTTTTTTTTTTTTTTTTGATAATTAAGCTTTTATAAACCAAAAAAATAAGGGCGACTGAAGAGGCTACATACAATCTGCTACTAGACAAAACCTAGAAACAGTAAGAGAAAACAAACTCCCGGAAAGGAGCGTGGTAACAAAAAGTCCCGCAGCTGAACATACCCAGAGTCCAGGGCTAAAATAAAAACAATTCAAACAGCCTAAACAAGGCCTACAAGCGGACGAGGCCAACTCACTCCTAAACATGAAAGGGAAATAGAGTCAGGAAGACTCCACTCAATAGCAAGGTTCCTACTATCAACTGAATCTTCAACTTTAGTATCCCTACTTCCATTGTTTTCCATTTTACAAGCATAACTTCAGCTATAGAGAAATCCAAGGATGGTATCATGGTATACTCAATACATAAGGCAATATACCTATTTTATTTTTCTTGCTCTTTCACTTGGCTATACAGAAAAATAAAAAAATAATTAAAAAAAAATTTCTTGACATGTAAACTTTTTAAAAATAAAAATTGTGTCAATCTTATTACTTGAGCTTTTAATTTAAAAACTTAATACTAACCATTCGTAATACTAAAATTTAGTGGTAAAATCTAAGATATATATAATAACTTATTGTTGTCAACTTAGCAACTTTGTATATATAGGTCTTGATTAAGATAGAGTAATGGTTATCATTAAGGGAGTGATTTTTAGACTCCATATTGTTTTTATTTTTAGTTCCCATATTCTATTAACAATGGCTTTAAATATTCAAAATTTTAGTAAGAATTTATAAATATATTTATTATTTTGCTCTAGATTTGAAATATTTTAATATCTTCTATTTTTTAAGTTGTCAGTTCTACAAACACTCCAAAAAGTAATATAAAAACCTTGTTTGATTCAAGTTCTAGTAATTTCTTGATTATATAATTAATTTTTTCATTCAAATATTGTAAGCCGATAAAAAAGAAAAAGAAGAAGAAGAAAAAATTAAAATAAAGAATTTTACAAAAGAAGATCAAATAGAGTTGCGCTTTAGATCTACAAGTAATTCTGATATACACCATAAGCTTCACTTTACTAGTGAAATTATGAATTTTTATTGATCTAAATTTCATTTAATTTTTCTGATAATTTCAAATATAAAGGTTTGGAACTAAAGCATGAAAGAAGAAGAATAAAAACTTTTTATTATAGTTATATCCTCACCTAAAGTAGAAAATGAGAACTAAAGAAGAAAATTACGGGGGGCTAGATTATTTTCCCATCATTAAACACCAAAATATATTTTATAAAGAAAGTCAAAGAAATTTTGAGAAAGCCCATTTCTCATTACTTGGCTCAACAAGTTTTATAGCATCTTTGTCTCCCATCTTCTCAAAGGGCCCAATGCCCAAGAGTATCCTTAACCATGCCTTGGGTCCTTTATAAAAAGAGCCTTGGATTAAACCCAAACCCTTGTTCCTTTAGCTAATTCAATAGGCCTAAGGCCAATATGTTCATGAGCACAACATCAATATTTGCATTTTGAGGGATTGAAAAACAACAATGAATCTAGTATGCTCTAAGGTCCAATAAAAGATTAATTCATTTATTTCTTCTTTGTAAAATTCTTACTACTCATCCTCTTATAAGGTATAAGAGCTCTCTCTCACAGGCACACTCACACAACAAATATATAACATTAGATTTTCTCGGAATGTAATGTAGTTCGACTTTTATCTTGATTCGAATGAATCATTTTTTCTACAAATCGTGTTTTGGAATCACAAGAGGAACGGGTTGATTCTTCACCCTCTCTCTCACACACACATGAGTACGGGCGCATACTCACATACGTGTTGTTGTGGAATCGATAAATTTGTATTTGGGGGCCAAAGTGTAGCACAAATATATATGAGTCGAGCAAACGGGAAATTGCATCTTGGGGGGAGCAAAGATAAAATTTCATAAATGATGATAATAAATTAATAAATACAATTTAAGGGATGAAATATATACTTACACATAAATTTTAAAAACTTTTTTTTCACACTCGCGGGTAACCCCGGCCTATGAATAGTTCTACCCACCATATACAAGCTAGGTTAAAAAACTTCACATTTTTTAATCAAATTTTAGTTCATAAATTAATGCATTTCAAGAGTAAGGATTTTTATGCCTTCCATATTATTTAGGTTTTTCATATTATCTATACGAGAACAATGAGGGACGTAGCCAAGATTTTTAGTTAGCATGGTCAAAACATTAACTATAAACTGAAGCCCCAAATTTTATAGCTTAGGCTTTTCAAACAATTTATACTAACTCAATAAAATTTAACTCGTAAATCCATGTAAACTCATCAAATCCAACTATGAATATCTAGCAATTAACAGATATATCAAAATTAAACCAAATCCTCATCTACAACTTAGAGTTTTATCGATTCTTTAAACTCATTCAAAATTAACTCAATAACTAACCAAAATTTATCAAACCCAACTTAAAACAATAACTAATTAACTCATACCTCAACATAAACAAGATTAAATCAAAATTTAGGAATTTAATCTTTCAATATAAACCAATTTATTAAACTCAACAAAAACTCATAGCTTATGATCTTTCATCAATTAAAAAAGCTAAAAGAAAAGATTTTTGAGCAAAAAAAAAAAAAAATGAGCATCATCTTACCTTGTAACCTCAAAAAGAATAGTCTTTCTTGAGTAATCCAATCAAAGGAATAATAAAGTACGAGAAAAAATTAGAGGAAATGAAAAAGAGAAAAAAGGTAAAGTGTTAATTTATTCAAATTTTTGTGGGGTCAATATGAATTTAAGTAGGGTCAAAATTGTAAATTTGTAATATAAAGCCTTTTTTATTTTTTTTTTTAAAGTTGAGTGTGTTCAATTAAACCTATAAGTGTGGATGTGGCTACGAACCTAGGACCAATATTTTAAGAGTAATGCTACACTCACAGCCTCTTTTCACAAACTTTCTCTTACAACCCCGACGTGGTAATTCACAATTGGTTAACTACAGTTTATCAGGTGTGACCTATTACGAGCTGATCAAGTTATCATGTCAGAGTTGTGAGAAAAAGTTATGGGTGGAGCATTTTCCATATTTTAAAATCATGTCAACCATAATTTTTTAGATGCATTGAAGAAATTATTGATTCCAGTTGGAAGATGTCATTTTTACATCACTAATTTTAGTATCTAAACCTATTTATGAACTCAAATTGAATATTAGTCTTTTTGTTTTTAAAGAGAGAGAAGAAAAGACATATTAACATCACACCATTAACTAAATCTCATTACCTTAAACTGGCTAGGTTGATTTTTTATTTTTTATTTTTAGTAACAAGACATTAGATTTTTCATTTTTGTAACATTAATTAACTTGCATTACTTTATAAGTATTTCATTTTAGAGTACAAAGAAATAGATGATCCCTAGATACGATGTAATAACAAAAATTTCCCTTTCATTATTGTATTATTAGTGACACATTAGAATTTACATAGATATGAGTATGAAAATTGTCCTTCTATCATTTATTTTAATACTTAAAATTTAATGGTAAGAAATTTTTTGTTATTTTAAAAATCTCAAAAACATTTTTGTTTTTTCATCAAACCTCATTAACTCTTCATTCCGTAATATAAATGGAATATATCAGTCCTACATTTAATTAATATTATAAACTTATTGTTATACATTACAAAATTATATAATCTTTTATATCATAAATAATACTGCTATAATTATCTAACGATATTTATATATGAAACTATATATTAAAAAAGAGTATCTTAATGTTTTATATCATAAATGGTATGAAAGCATGTTGTGACATGAACTCAAACCGTCGACGCCAAAATTTTTTTTTTTTTTTGTAACCACTGTGTTCGAGTCAGGTGGACGCACTTTAACCAATTTATGGAATCCATTGAACACCGTATAAGCCCAAAGAACCAGTAAACCATAATTTTATTATAGTAAGTGGCTCCAAGATTTGAACTTAGAAACTTAAATAATGAAGCAAATATTTCAAGCCAATCCCTTGGGGTTAAACGTTGATGCCAAATTTCTTGTTGGGGAAGGTTTGCCCCTAACGCAAAAGTTATGTTTTTCAGCGTCAATTCTACGTAAAGGCAAACCTTAGTTACAGTGGTGCATGTTCACCCATCGCAAGAATTTTGAGCAAATTTTATTTTCATATCTAAAGTAAAGTAAAATTACATTTTTAACACATTATAATTTAAAGCATTTAATTTATATGTAAAAAAAAAAAAAAAAAAAAGTCCATATAGAAAAAAGTGTCTCGATATTAAAATACATATCACCCATACATCAAACACAAAATATACCTGTCTTTCTCACTCTTTCTTCCTCAAAAATATATATAAAATGCAAGTTGACAGTTGATTCTTTGTAGCTATGAAAAAAAAAATGGATATTAACAAATACAAACAAAACTATGAGAATCACAAGTGTTCTCTTCAGAATTCAGAATATATATGACATTGGCAATGGCACCATCATCAACACAAGACTTTCTGTAGTATTTTCATTTTCCCTCTCTCTCTCACCTCCTCCACCACTATATCATCACGTGAATCCACAATAATTTCTCATGCACTTAATTGTGGGGTCATTTAGCCACCCCTTCCTCTTTTGTTCTCTTCCCTAACTCCAACTCTCAAGAATCTCCAATCCCCTCTCTCTAATTCTTCCTTCTTCTTCTTCTTCTTCTTCTTCAAATATATTCCGCTCTTCTTTTTTCATTCTTTCTTCATTATCTTCAACAATGGTGAAACAAACTTCATCTTTTCATGCTCTTCTTATTGTTTTTGTTTTTTTTTTTCTTGGTGTTGCAGCCAAAGGGGTTCATAGTTTTCAAGAGAAGAATTATCATAACCTCCTCAATCTTCAGAATATTATTCTTCAATGGCAACAGCAACAACACCAGAATGGAGAACTCTCAAGTTGTCTCTCTCAGAGATCAAGTGAGTACTCAAGTTAATTTCTTTAAAACAAAAATAAATAAATAAATAAATAAAGGGAAAAGTTCTTTATAATCATTACAGACAACTTCTCTAATGGTGGCCAATGCTTTAATTTGATTTCTATTTTTTTTTTTTTTTAACTTTATTTTTATGTATTCTCTCCACTTTGGGATCTATAATGAAGTATCACTTTTCTCCTTTTGCTAGGATCTAGAATTGCTTTCATGCTTTATGGAAACAATAATCATTAGCTTAATTTTTCTCTCTTTCACTTCTTTTCAAAGCAAAATTAACTAATTAAATGTACTTGATAAAGTTAATTTTGTAGGCTTTAATTTGGTTTTGATTATGCAATCTATTAGTTGATTACTTGTAGCCTTTTGACCTCTATTTTTTATGATTAATTGTATTTTTATAAGTTTAATTAGTGTTATTCCTTTTATATACTTTATGTTAAATTATATTTTCGGATTTTTTTCTCTCTCTCTTTCGGTTTAATTAATAATAATAAGCTTATACTTTGGATTATGCGATCAATAATTGAATTATATGCTTCAAAGGTTGCCGTTTCTGTTTGTTTTAGAAGGTCACATTTTTATTTTAATTATAGATATTGTATGTATTAAATTATTTAAGCGAATATATATATATATAGCTTAACCCTTTTATAAAATATGTTAAAATATTCAAAACATAATCTAAATTTCAATAATAATTTTCTTTTCTTTATGAGTGTCATGTACTTCAAAGTTCAAACCATTAAACAGAATTTCACCTTTCTTTATGTTTCTTAATTCTCATCCTTTTGCTAAATTTTTTTCTTTTAATTCATACTAACTTGTCCTTTCCATTAATTGTAAAATAATTAACAATGGTTAGGCATGAAAACAAAATTTCAATTTCTTTGCAAATTTAGGATCCGTGAAAGGTGCAACAATTCTACAAATGAAGCACAGGGCCTACTGTTCCGGAAAGGTCATAAACTGGAACAAGGAGCAGCAAAAACTCCTAGCTCTGGATGTTCTACATGTCAACTATCTTCAATCCCGAATCAAAAACCTTCATTCTTTCAACAAAAATGGAGTTCTGGACACCCAAATCCCTATAACTTCTGGGGTAAAACTTCAAACTCTAAACTACATTGTCACAGTCGAGCTCGGCGGTCGACAAATGACTTTAATTGTCGACACTGGAAGTGACCTGACATGGGTTCAATGCCAGCCCTGCAAATTATGTTACAATCAACAAGATCCTCTTTTTAACCCTTCAATGTCTCCTTCATACAAACAAATTTTATGCAACTCTTCGACTTGTAAATCCCTGGAAATTGCCACCGGAAATTCTGGACTTTGCGGAGGAAATCCTCCGACCTGTAACTATTATGTTAGTTATGGGGACGGATCCTACACTCGCGGTGAACTAGCCCGTGAAAATCTAAATCTTGGGACGATTCCGGTGATTAATTTTGTATTCGGTTGTGGGAGAAATAATCATGGTTTGTTCGGAGGAGCTTCAGGCCTGCTGGGTCTTGGAAGGAGTGATATCTCAGTGGTGTCTCAAACTTCATCAATTTTCGGAGGAGTTTTCTCCTATTGTTTACCTTCAATGGAAGCCGGAGCTTCAGGATCTCTAGTTCTTGGAGGAAATTACTCGGTTTATAGGAATTCGACTCCGTTTTCATACACCAGGATGATTCCGAATCCCCAACTGACTACATTTTATTTCCTGAATCTTACAAGTATCAGCATTGGTGGGGTGCAATTGCAGGCTCCAGGTTTCGGGAAATTTCCAGGGATTTTGATTGATTCCGGGACGGTTATTTCCAGGCTTCCGCCTGGAATTTACAGGGCCCTGAAGGCAGAATTTTCGAAGCAATTTTCAGGATATCCTTCGGCTCCAGGATATTCCATCCTGGAGACATGTTACAATCTCAGTAGCTACCAGGAAGTGAATGTTCCAATAATGAAATTCCAGTTTGAGGGAAATTCTGCTATGCATGTTGATGTAAGGGGAATGTTTTATTTTGTGAAATCGGATGCGTCACAGGTGTGTTTAGCTCTCGCGAGTCTTTCGTTTGAAGATGAAATTGGGATTATTGGGAATTATCAGCAGAGGAACCAGAGGATTGTTTATGATATAAAGGAATCGAAGGTTGGATTTGCAGGAGAAACTTGCAGTTCAATTTGAGAAGAAATTGAATTTGAGAGAAATAGTTGTGTGGATTCAAATTTTCTTTTTTCCCTCCAAGGCAAGCCAAGTAATTTTGGCTTTATTATTGCTGATTTTCATTGAATAGTTTTTTATGTCCATATAATATATTAATCAATATATATATTTCAAACACAAATTCATGAACATTGATTTATTGCAATCTAACTAATATTAATTTTTTTTTTTTAATGATCGACCATGTCCAGGCTAGTTTGCACACCTTAACTAATCTCCCGAGAACTTAAAATTACCGATTAGGTAAGAGTTCAAGCGGCCAGCTTTATTACGGGTCAAAGTGAATAGAACTCAAGATTTCTTGAACATTGATTTATTGCAATCTAACTGATATTATTATTTATTTTTAATGATTCTTCTTCTTCAAATATTTCCGCTCTTCTTTTTTCATTCTTTCTTCATTATCTTCAACAATGTGAAACAAACTTCATCTTTTCATGCTCTTCTTTTGTTTTTGTTTTTGTTTTTCTGTGTTGCAGCCAAAGGGTTCATTGTTTTCGAGAAAAGAATTATCATAACCTCCTCAATCTTCAGAATATTATTCTTCAATGGCAACAGCAACAACACCAGAATGGAAACTCTCAAGTTGTCTCTCTCAAAAATCAAGTGAGTACTCAAGTTAATTTCTTTAAACAGAAATCAAAAAAAAAAAAAAAAAAAAAAAAAAAAAAAAAAAAGGGAAAAGTTCATATAATCATTACAGACAACCTTCTACCTATAATAACATCGTAAAACTGCAATAAGTCAAGCTTGCAATTACGTTCTACTTTTTAATTTTTTGAGAATATTTGTTAATTTTCACTTAATTCTATTACTCCCATCATTTACGTTTAAAAGATCTGAAGTTGTAGTAGTCAAACTACAAAAGTATACATAAAGGTTTTAAAACTTACATAGACCTCATAATTTTTTACCATATATAAATTGGAATAAATTCCCTGCACTTTTTTTGTGCAAATATACTTGAATCAAAGCAGAACCATCCTCAAGATCATGTTAATACAACCACAACAGCTCTATAGATTGAAAAATTTAAAGGATGTTAACTTAGATGTAAAGGGAGCGAGGAATGGCGTTACCTGGATCAATGAATGGAACTGTCATCGATTTCCAGCGAGGGAGGAAGACGTCGTCGATTTTCAGCGAGGGAGGAAGATGTCGTCGTCGATTTCCGACGAGTTCATATGCTATTTGGGTGGGATTTCAGAGAGAACAGAAGACAGAGCCGAAACCGTGAGAATTTTCGCAAAGATCAGAGTGTTTGCTGAGAAATTTTCGTGAGAAAATTTGAGAAAGACTGAAAGAGAAGAAGATGAGAAAGGGTTGCGTGACAGAGAAGAATATGAGAAAGGGCTGCGTGAAAGAGAAGAAGATTGTCGCGTATTAGGGATTTAAATTGTGGACCGGTTTTTCCGTCGGTCTAGTTGGACCAGCGGTTCACTCATATTATCTGGTTTTTAACCGGTTTAAAGCGGCTCAATGTATATTAGCGCGTTTGAGGGTGACTCGAACCGGAAAAGTGACTGGTTCACGGTCCAACCGGTTGGACCGGCCGATCCGATCCGATTTTTAAAATAGTGGTTGTGACATGAACTCAAACCGTCGACACCAAAATTTATTTTTTTTTTTTTTGGTAACCACTGTGTTCGAATCAGGTTGGACGCACTTTAACCAATCTCCGGAATCCATTGAACACCGTACAAACCCAAATGACCAGTAAGTCATAATTTTATTATAGTAGGTGACCTCAAGATTTGAGTCTAGAAACTCAAATAATGAAGTAAACATTTTTTACCGTCAAACCAATCCTTGGGGTTAAACGTTGACGCCAAATTTCTTGTTGGCGAAGGCTTGCCCCTAACGCAAAAGTGATGTTTTTCAGCGTCAATTCTACGTAAAGGCAAACCTTTATTACAGTGGTGCATGTTCACCCATCACAAGAATTATGAGCAAATTTTATTTTCATATCTAAAGTAAAGTAAAATTACATTTTTAACACATTATAATTTCAAGCATTTAATTTATTTGTAAAAAAAAAAAAGATATCTATATAGAAAAAAGTGTCACAATATTAAAATATATATCACCCATACATCAAGCACAAAATATACCTGTCTTTCTCTCTCTTTCTTCCTCAAAAATATATATAAAATGCAAGTTGATAGTTGATTCTTTGTAGCTATGAAAAAAAAATGGATATGAACAAATACAAACAAAACTATGAGAATCACAAGTGTTCTCTTCAGAATTCAGAATATATATGACATTGGCAATGGCACCAGCATCAACACAAGACTTTCTGTAGTATTTTCATTTTCCCTCTCTCTCTCACCTCCTCCACCACTATATCATCACGTGAATCCACAATAATTTCTCATGCACTTAATTGTGGGGTCATTTAGCCACCCCTTCCTCTTTTGTTCTCTTCCCTAACTCCAACTCTCAAGAATCTCCAATCCCCTCTCTCTAATTCTTCCTTCTTCTTCTTCTTCTTCTTCTCAAATATATTCGCTCTTCTTTTTTCATTCTTTCTTCATTATCTCAACAATGGTGAACAAACTTCATCTTTCATGCTCTTCTTTTGTTTTTGTTTTTTGTTTTCTTGGTGTTGCAGCCAAAGGGTTCATTGTTTTCGAGAAAAGATTATCATAACCTCCTCAATCTTCAGAATATTATTCTTCAATGGCAACAGAAACAACACAGAATGGAGAACTCTCAAGTTGTCCTCTCCAAAATCAGTAGTACTCAAGTTAATTTCTTTAAAACAGAAATCAAAAAAAAAAAAAAAAAAAAAAAAAAAGGGAAAGTTCATTATAATCATTACAGACAACTTCTCTAATGGTGGCCAATGCTTTAATTTGATTTCTATTTTTTTTTTTTTTTAACTTTATTTTATGTATTCTCTTCACTTTGGGATCTATAATGAAGTATAACTTTTCTCCTTTTGCTAGGATCTAGAATTGCTTTCATGCTTTATGGAAACAATAATCATTAGCTTAATTTTTCTCTCTTTCACTTCTTTTCAAAGCAAAATTAACTAATTAAATGTACTTGATAAAGTTATTGTGTAGGCTTTATTTGGTTTTGATTATGCAATCTATTAGTTGATTACTTGTAGCCTTTTGACCTCTATTTTTTTATGATTAATTGTTTTTTATAAGTTTAATTAGTGTTATCCTTTTATTACTTTATGTTATTATATTTTCGGATTTTTTCTCCTCTCTCTTTCGGTTTAATTAATAATATAGCTTATACTTTGGATTATGCGATCATAATTGATTATATGCTTCAAAGGTTGCCGTTTCTGTTGATTTGAAGGTCACATTTTTTTTTTATTATAGATATTGTATATATTAATTATTTAAGCGAATATATATATATATGCTTACCCTTTTTATAAATATGTTAAAATATTCAAAACATAATCTAAATTTCAATAATAATTCTTTTCTTTATGAGTGTCATGTACTTCAAAGTTCAAACCATTAAACAGAATTTCACCTTTCTTTATGTTTCTAATTTCTCATCCTTTGCAATTTTTTTCTTTAATTCTACTACTTGTCCTTTCCATTAATTGTAAAATAATTAACAATGGTTAAGCATGAACAACAATTTCAATTTCTTTGCAAATTTAGGATCCGTGAAAGGTGCAACAATTCTAGAAATGAAGCACAGGGCCTACTGTTCCGGAAAGGTCAAACTGGAACAAGGAGCAGCAAAAACTCCTAGCTCTGGATGTCTACATGTCAACTATCTCAATCCCGAATCAAAAACCTTCATTCTTTCAACAAAAATGGAGTTCTGGACACCCATCCCTATAACTTCTGGGGTAAAACTTCAAACTCTAAACTACATCGTCACAGTCGAGCTCGGCGGTCGACAAATGACTTTAATGTCGACACTGGAAGTGACCTGACATGGGTTCATGCCAGCCCTGCAAATTAGGTTACAATCAACAAGATCCTCTTTTAACCCTTCAATGTCTCCTTCTACAAACAAATTTTATGCCACTCTTCGACTTGTAAATCCCTGGAAATGCCACCGGAAATTCTGGACTTTGCGGAGGAAATCCTCCGACCTGTAACTATTATGTTATTTTTGGGACGGATCCTACACTCGCGGTGAACTAGCCCGTGAAAATCTAAATCTTGGGACGATTCCGGTGAATAATTTTGTATTCGGTTGTGGGAGAAATAATCATGTTTGTTCGGAGGAGCTTCAGGCCTGCTGGTTCTTGAAGGAGTGATATCTCATGTTGTCCAAACTTCATCAATTTTCGAGGAGTTTCTCCTATTGTTTACCTTCAATGGAAGCCGGAGCTTCAGGATCTCTAGTTCTTGGAGGAAATTACTGGTTTATAGGAATTCGACTCCGTTTTCATACACCAGGATGATTCCGAATCCCCAACTGACTACATTTTTTTCCTGAATCTTACAAGTATCAGCATTGTGGGGTGCAATTGCAGTTTCCAGGTTTTGAATTTCCAGGGATTTTGATTGATTCCGGACGGTTATTTCCAGGCTTCCCCTGGAATTTACAGGGCCCTGAAGGCAGAATTTTCGAAGCAATTTTCAGGATATCCTTCGGCTCCAGGATATTCCATCCTGGAGACATGTTACAATCTCAGTAGCTACCAGGAAGTGAATGTTCCAATAATGAAATTCCAGTTTGAGGGAAATTCTGCTATGCATGTTGATGTAAGGGGAATGTTTTATTTTGTGAAATCGGATGCGTCACAGGTGTGTTTAGCTCTCGCGAGTCTTTCGTTTGAAGATGAAATTGGGATTATTGGGAATTATCAGCAGAGGAACCAGAGGATTGTTTATGATATAAAGGAATCGAAGGTTGGATTTGCAGGAGAAACTTGCAGTTCAATGTGAGAAGAAATTGAATTTGAGAGAAATAGTTGTGTGGTTTCAAATTTTTTTTTTTTCCCTCCAAGGCAAGCCAAGTAATTTTGGCTTTATTATTGCTGATTTTCATTGAATAGTTTTTTATGTCCACATAATATATTAATCAATATATATATTTCAAACACAAATTCATGAACATTGATTTATTGCAATCTAACTAATATTAATTTTTTTTTTTTAATGATCGACCATGT